AAAATTAATTATAAAGAAACAAATCTTGATGGAGTTATAATAAGTGCTTATGATAGAGCAGGGTTGGCAAATGTATGGTCCATTGGTGGTCTATTGGTGATCCATTTGTTCCATTATAGCCATATTTAATAATTTATTAATGCAATGGACCAGTCCAAAGTCTATAAGCTCTCAATGGACCAGTTAATCTGCCAACCCTGGTTACAACTGCTTGAGTTATTAAAAGCTATTTACGAGGTATCTTCATTATTGTTTATTATTAATAATAAAAGTTTATCGTATCATAATTTAATTCGTTTTAAAAAAAAATATACTCAAAGGAGAGAAAGAATTGGAAGGAGAGAAAAATTCGGAAGAGGTGGAAATTTTTGAAGAAAAAGGAGAAGAGATGGAGGAGGATTCAGAAGAGGGAAGAGAAGCGGAAGAGATGGAGGAAGAGAAAGAGGAAATTGAAGTGGTACCAATTGAAGAAGTTTATGATAATAATAATGATAATAATAATGATAATGATAATGTTAATGTTAACGTTAATAGGGACGATAATGATAATGTTGACAGCAATAATAATAATGATGTTAATGGAAATGATGAAGATAGCATTAATATTAATGGCAATAACGATGAGAATGGTAATGTTATTAATAATGCTGATAGCAATGATGATAATGTTGATAGCGATGAAGATGAGAACGGTAATGGTAATGGTGGTGATGATGATGATGATGATGATAATAGTGAATTGGAAAGCCTTGACGAAAGGAGGTTTGTGACTGCTTGGAATACCAAATGGTCAAAAGAAGAATTGATCATTCTCCTAAATCATGTATTTCGAAAGAAGATAAATTGTAATGAACTACAAATGAATGGAATATCAAGAAAAAACAATGCTATTTCATTAAAATGGAGGTCAATGAAACGACAAGTAAAGAAACTGTTTGGGGTAGATTTTTAAAAATTGATGGTATAAAAAAATAACTTGTTAATAATTTAATCATTTATTTGAGCAAACAATTTGCAATGACGAATATATCTTTGGCATTTGATAATTATTGCAACTATTATTTTAGTTTAGTAGATCAATCATTATTGGATGATAAAACTTTGTTGTTCTGGTAGAAAAATGATGGATCACATGAATTATTGTTATCATCATCATTTTCCAAAT